AGATCTAGTATAATCAATGACATATCTAAGACTACCAATGATGCTCGGATATTCTGTTTGTCTGACAGTTTCATCAGTGTTCTTAAACAGTTTCACACTTGGATCATATGGTGTACACGCAGGTTTACAGTCAAAGTATTTATATTTCTTTAAAATATTCTCCACACAGTGTGATTGATCTAATATTATATTCTATTGTGACCTTTCTCTTATTTCTTGTTTCTTTTACTCTATACAACATCGTAAATTTGTTTGCATATTATTAGTTTAAGTTTTAGCAACACGAAATTTGTGTTGTTTTTGAATAATTTCCCTATTTAAATTAATACCTTATTTTTAGTCCAAATAAAGTGATTTAAATTTATACCTTCATTGAATATCCACTAATTGATTTGGATATGACTCACTTTCATTTAAAAATTAGAGAATTTCTAAATGCATCCTAGATAGTTCTTAGCCACCGTGCGAAATTATTTAAATGCCCCTAAATTTCAGAAATGCATCTCTGGATGCACCTATTTCTGAATAAACGTTAAATATTCTAGAGATACATCTCCGAAACTATTTTAAACATTCAACATAATCCACTCAGAAGCCATTTACATTTGAATTGGACCAGAGATGCATCTCTGTGAATATTTCAAAAATGTATCTCTGAAATATAGCAGAACAGGTATTTAATTCTATAAGTTGTTTATCTGTGCTCAGATGAAGTATAATGTACAATCGCAAATAAAAAAAATACACGTACAAAGTAATAAGAGGCTACTACTATGTAGAGGTGTACATAAGTTGGGTCAACCCACAAAACCCGGTCAAACCCACCCAAAAAAAATCCAAAAAGGAGGGTTGGGTCGAGTAATTGGGTGTATATGGGTTTAAAAACTAAAAAACCCATTAAAAATCGGGTTTCGGGTGAAACCGGACCCAAACCCAAAAAAACCCACTAACCCGCTAATTAAACATTTATTATCATAATTTTAATGATTTTGATGAATATTAACTTAGTTGTTGCAATTTTAGTATCTTAACATTTACTATTTTAATGAATAATGACTTTAACTAATTTTGAATGTTTCACTCTTTAGTTATTTTGATGTTAATACAATTTTATATCATGCAACTTTAGTTTGTTGCTAGTATTATATGATAATTTTATTAGTTGATGATATCATTTATTATTTTATGATGCTAAAAGATAGTAAAAATAAGTTATTTGTTTTTTGAATAAAATAAATATGTTGAATAATTTTTATGAAAAAAATATGATGACTCGTCATTTAGTCATTTAATATTAATAAAAAAAAGAAAAATTATTTAGGCAAACACAACCCAACCCAACTCGAAAATTAGTGGGTTTGCCCAAACCGACCTGTTGGTGTAACAGATGGTTATTTTACCTCACCCAAACCGAAGTGTCCTGTATAGATTGGGTATTGAGTTTGACCAAACTCAATTCAAACCGACCCACGTACGCTCCTACTACTATGTGTGTCAAAAATAAAATATCAATATATGTAAAAAAAAATATCGTACAATTGAGATCCAAAATGTAGTAAGACCATCAAAATAAAGTACAGAGTATAGTACTACAACAAAATAAAAATAGACTACTATTGTGTGTGTCTAACAACACCTCATCTACCTCTTCTGCCTGCTCTATCTTCTCGGTCATCAATCCCCCGTCCTCTGGTGATGTCTTTGGTACAACAATGCCCTATGTGCTTCCGACACGATGACATCTAGGACTCGCATAACACTAGACCCATCAGGGAAGATACCCTCGTTAATACTTGTCAGCGCAATCTCCACTATGTGAATGACACATAGGCAAGACATCATCAATATGATATAACTGAGTTTGTTCCTCCTCTAGTATCTTCTGATGAGCTGACCTCGGCGGATCTTCTGTAGCAGCATGCACCATGTACGAATGTGACACCCTGAAGAACCATTTGATGTATCATTCGACGTAGCTACAATCGCTTGGGGCTATGGTAGCCCATGCCTCCTATGGTACCAGATGCCTATTAAAATCATCAAACATACCCTCTATCTGTCTATGCGTAAAGGCAGGCAGGAGCAGAGGCAACAGAGTGTCTGAGGATGGTCTGAGTGTACGTGAACTGCCATATGACATGGTCAGGCAGATGAGGAGCTGTGAGATGCGTCTGCATGCCAACCATTCGAAGTATAGCATTATCTCTTCAAATGGCCACATCTGACGATGATCAACATAGATGTTGAAATGCGTGTCCTCGACAACCAAATGGTCAAGATAGACTCTGAAAGGTTCGGTCTCCTAGTTCTTTCTGAGCGAGATAAAATTAGTAGCACATGACATATCCTCTGTGTACTCAAACACGCTCGTCCAGCCAGCGATGCGTGGGAAGTGTTTGAGAATCCAAGTATGAAATTAAAAATTTTAAAACACAGAAATCATCAGTAATGGTTTTGCAAATATGAAATGAAATTGACAAAAAAAAAATATTCAAGGATCAAGAATTATTAGCACTAGTAGTGTCACATTGCACATGGTCTGCTTCGTCTTACACATACAACCCTCTCTCAACTTCGAATATAGATAGACGCCGCCCCCCAATTGTACTCATGGATCCGCTGTAGATCTAAGAAGTACCGTAGGTAGATAACGTCAGTATAAGTGGCACTTTTTTCCACAAAAATCGAAGTGCCAATAAATAAAAGTATGCTCTCAATGCATATGTCTTGTGGTCTGCCACCTGCTCATCATCACCATGAGCATGTTTTGCCTTCAGGATCTGATCCTTATAGAGCGTACCCTGAAACTCAAATCTAACATGAACACCCCTGGTCTTATCCAGCTACCCCATCGCCTTCTCTGGATCAGTCCCTAGCTCTACCATCATCTCGACTGCCTCGTCTTTGGCCATCCTCTCGTGATCGAGGAATCTCCCCCTGGTCGAAGATGTAACAAACACGAGACATCATTTAGTGTGATAGACATCTCACCATGCGGGAGATGAAACGACGAGGTCTCAAAGTGTCATCTCTCTATGAATACATTAAGCATCCCTGGTTGACCAGAGTGTAATCGATCATGCATAGGTCCTTTAGGCCAGATAATGACAGAACTAACTGAAACCAATCCTCATTTGACGAGGCAATGCAACAATTTTCCTCGCGTGGTTAAGAAACTTATGGGGATCATGCTCCTGAAACTTGTCATAAATAATCAATGTTAGAAATAATCAATGTTAACAATTAAAATTAATGCATAAAAAATACAAAATCTAACTAATGTTACCTCTCTGTCCCATATATGTTTGGCAGTATGGTTTGGATACAGAGGAAGTAAGAACAAATCAAATGGACCTCCTCCAAAAGCCTCTGACTCGGCATCCGCAATAGTCTCACCCTCCGGAGGTGGCATTGGATCAACAGCATCACCAGCGGAAGGTGCGTCTGAACAGCAGCATCATCCGTAGAAGGTGACACTGGTGAATCCTGACGCTTGCGGAAGGATGAGGCAAGGCGTCAAATGGTGAATCTCGTTTCCTACAACAAGAAGAAGGTGGAGTGGCCTGAGGTGAAGCACGAGCCCCAAAAGTAGACGGCGCCCCAGAAGTCGACGACTCTGCCTGACCAGAGGTACCTAGAGCCTCATGAGCATGTTGGCTCCGCTTCCGCCGAACGGATGCGTGTTGAGCAACCTTTCCATGTCTCAGTCTGTCATCTCTATCCGTCATTATGCATGTAAGGTAAAGTAAGGCATATCATCAGTGCATACAAATAACTCATACAAACAAGAAAGTTTAAGAAAAAAACACACATATTGAAGAAATTTTTGGAGATGCATCTCCAGAAGTACCATTAAACTAAAACGTTGAAATATTCCAGAGATGCATCTCCGGAAGCACCAGGAAACTAAAACGTTGAACAAATACGGAAATGCAACTCCAAAATTTCTTGTAGTATATGAGACGCTGAAACATTACAGAGATGCATCTTCCGAATGTTTTGCAACTCAAAAGTTGCGTCAATGATAAATGTACCACATACAAGTCGAAAAAAATATGATCTGATCACGAATTTCAACCAACAAACAAGTTATACATTATGTTTAAACTATGTTACATGTGATTCCTACACATTTCTAACCCTAATCATTGATTTTTACACACTTACACTAAAACTTAAAATTTATTTAAAACTCAAAAACTTGCTTGAAATTTATAATTTTGATGAAGTTGAATGATGTTATAGATGATACTTGATGTTCCCTTAAGTTCCTTTGAGCCTTAATTGATGGAATTTGATCTTGTGTAGGAAAAGTGTACTTTGAAGAGTCTTGAAATTCTGTTTGAAGAAACAATGAAATGAAGAAGAGTCTGACGCGACTTATGCTCTAAAATATTCCGGAGACATATTTCTGAAATATTTCAACATTCACTTGTATTTAGGTGTACGAAAATATAAATCCGAAAACATGAGACATTTGTGAAATTTTACATAGTGCAATACTAAGATGTCTTAGGAAATTTTCAAAATTTAACTTCTCCATAGTAAATAATCCCCTTTAAAAAGCATATCCCTTAAAACCCAACTTCGAGTTACTTTGGACTAAACTCCAATTTTCTGAGGGAGCAAGCAAAATAATATTGAGTATTGACAGTGTGCCACAGTGCAGTATGAGCCTCGGGGAATAGAAGAAAAATTGGAAATATTTGATTTTACATGGGTAAACAAATGGCCAACAAAAAAATATGATACGTGTGTACATCACTTAAGCAACAATAAAACAGACCGGTGATAAAAATAAAAATAAAAAGTTTAAAAAAAAAAAAAAAACCAGAAAAGCCAATCAGAAACGGATTGGAGAAGATACAGATAATTAGATATATTGATACATGTGAATGATGAGTGGCATACATAAAAATTTATCTTCAGACGCCTGTATGGGACTGAGAACTTGCTCATTGCAGATTAACTCACAACAAAGCAGCACAAACAGGGTGAAACTAGAACGTAATTTCACAAGGTGCGTGAAATGTTCTTCCTCGACATATAGGTTCCAGATTTTCACCCGCATATGAACAGAGTGGTGACACTTCAACACCTGAACAAAAAGCAACCAGTTTCATGAAAGGAAAGGAATAGTTAGATTAAATAAATAATTTTCATAATGAAAAGTATTATGTAAAAGCCCAGTCCCGTGGCTTTGATCACTATCATAGACGGAACACCCGGCCCATAGTTATAATTACTTTCTGGAAGAATAGAGGGGAACTTACCTGTTGCATATAAGGGCACTGAATGTGTTAAGAAGCCACCTGCAGCAACTACCCAACGAGTATGGAGTCGAAAAACAAGCATTTTAGCAGTATCTGGAGTGTCGTAATTGGATCCAATTGCATTTTTTACAGGCGCAAACTCCTCCTCCCGTAATACCTGAAATGGATGCATAAAAGAGACAATAAGAGTAGCATCCTTAAACAAGCATATCATCAGGAAAGAAACTGCACAATTTCATGTAAAAGTTAAAATTATAGTCACCTCAAAAAGTGCAGTGGTAGGAGCGTATGGAAATGCATCAAATATAAACTGTTCAAGTTTTAATCCCATAGTATATCCATGTGTGGAAGGGATTTTCTTCTCGGCAAGGTGGTAACTGTATATAGAATCGATGCATGGATCAGTAATCTACAAAACACCTAAAAGTGGTATCAAGACCATTTTTTACTATATTCATATTAAAACTACATTGGCTATTAAGATCAACTCCTAATAAATCTGACATCTTTCGGCACGAAAAGAATTTTGATTAATCTCGGTAGGAGGTCCATTTCATCTGATTAACTATAGATGCAGCTGAAATTTTTTTACTACAGCAAATTGATTCTACAGCAACGTAACATTGGTTTTTAGTTTGAATTTGGTTATAAGACATTAAGACAACAAGATTGCACATCTAGCAAGAAATTAATTTCTTAACACTTGGAAGCCGGATAACAATGAGATTTGAGAAGCAAGACGAGACACATACATGCTGTCCTTTTCAAGTCCATTTGCAACTTGGTTTAGAAAATCCAAAGTAAACATGTGTAAGCAAACCTGAAATCAAAGAGTTAATAATGAAATCTGGAAAATAACTTACAATGCATCCGGCAAAACTGATAATCAACTTTCAAATACAGAGCAAAAAAATGCAAAACTGATAATCAACTTTCAAATACAGAGCAAAAAAATGTTCTTGAGGTTATACACACAATACCGATGCTTATAAGTTATACATGAGTAACGATAATAGAAAATAGGTTGTTTGACCCATTAATGAGGTCAGTTAAATAGGTTTAGAAAGCAGTAGACGTGAGATTATAAAGAAGAACAGACTAACATTGCTCCAACAAAAACGAAGACGGCCAGTTGCTTGATTAACCGCGGAAGCTAGTGATGAGTCCAACTCGCTGTACTCAACTACAGTGAGAGGACCACCTTTACCTCTCTGTACAAACACCCCAACCTTTTCTTGCGGATATGCCTGTCATAAAACAACCAAATTAATAAACATAAACTAGCACAAAATATATTGAACTTTTTATCAACAAAAGCATTTTACAACAAATATTATTGACCCAAAACAAAATAGCAATGAGCAAAAGGAGTCACATTTGCAGGAATAAAAGCATTTTAAACCTTAAACTAATTAATAGATGCCGACCTTGTGTTTTAGACTTTTAGTTCTATCGAATAGTTGGATCCTGAGATTTATTTAAGTTTTCTGAATTATTGTCCAACTTCTTAAATGATTGGATCTCTGGGTTCTATTTTATTGTTCTGAGTTATTGCCCAATTTCCTTAATAATCAGATTCCCAAGTTCTGGTTTATTTTTCTGAGTTATGCTGTCAATACTTACAGCTAAAGGATCATAAGTTGGGATCAAAATTACAATACATAGAAATATGTAGACCAAATACTCTCACAACCCAATGAGAGAGATAGAAAGGAAAAGGTGGAGTAAAAGGAGGGCAAGATAATCATAATTGAAACATGTCCTTTTTTAATATAGGAAAATGTAGGTAAATTACTAGTTATGTTAGTTTTCAGGGTTAAGACCTAGAACTCCTAGTTATAAACTCCTTCAGCATCCCTCAGCCCACCTACCTAATTACCTGCTTGGGACATTCTAATGTGTTCATACAGTCCAATCTTCTTTCTGTGGATTCATAAAGAAAGCATACACTGCATTTTTATTTCGGTGATAATCTCAACTATAGAGATATATGAAAAGGAAACTCTGAATGTAACAGAGATTCAAAGTAAACTAAAAGGAGTTGTCCATGCAAAAATAACTCATGCAGAATGACTATTTTAATAATCCAATCATATGCAAGCATAACTTAATCTAGAAATAAAAAAGATCAGAAAGATCTTTTACTTGTAATGATCAGAAAAAATAAAGGTAATGGGTATCTAGTCCTTTCAAATTCAAATATACTCTACAAAGATGACCAAGTTACTAGTCAGGAGTAACTTAATCAGTCTGTTACCTTGCGGACGACTTTTGCTGCAGCAGCGACACCTTTATCAATGAAGTAACCTAAAAAAGATGGATCAGCAACTCGAACCTGGTTCACAAGTCCAAGTCAATACATACTTCTTTAAATAAGAAGTAAGAAATGACCAAGAAAAAAAATTGATTCAACGGTCAAAAGAGAAATCAAAGAAAATTCACCAGTGCATTGTCTACTCCATAGCAATCAATATATTTAATTCCTTTTGAGGCCATGTCCTCCAATAATTTGGTAGACTTCAGAGCTGAACACCAAAAAAAAAAAAGACTATTCAAATATTTCCAATTTTATCCAACCTGGATCATATATTGTAATAGAGGGCTCGTAAAGGTACCCGAATACACTCCACCGTTCCCATCAGGAGCCTTTGCTACCTGGGTTTAAAAGCTTAAATTAGTAATCCACCAGACAGAACTCAAATAGGGTCATAAAACAATGGACTAGAAGGTTCAAATGTAGCAATACAGACATGAAATTAGACAGGCAAAGCTGTAAGAGTGTAAGTCGTGAATAAAGAATCTCATCCTCAAGTGCTAATTCCAAATTAGATTATAGAAGCCTTATTATAATAATAATAATAATAATAATAATAATAATAATAATAATAATAATAATAATAATAATAATAATAATAATATAAATAATAATAATAATAATATTATTATTATTATTATTATTAATAATATTATTATTACTATTAATTATTATTATTATTATTATTATTATTATTATTATTATTATTATTATTATTATTATTATTATCCATGAACCTTCTTCTAATATCTCAATTCTCAAGTTTTTGAAAGAGTTAGTGTTTGACATGGTATTATAGCCTCTGTGATCAAGTGGTCAAATGTTTGATCCTAGCCGTCCCTATTTTTCAAAATATATAAATAAAACAGAACTTCAGCACAAAGCAAGATAAATTTGAGCATTGTCCTGCTTCAGTTCTAAACGGCTCTTGGCCTGGTAAGGGTCATTTTTAGATGTAAACCTACTCATAAATTTCATGCTTAAAGCTTTTGGAGAAGTTGTTTCTTGGCGGAAGCTAATTTCTCATATTTTTTAATCCGCTATTCTCTTATAAAATTTCTTTAATAAACTAAAAACTGAAACAAATAAGCATCTGCCTAGTTGGTTGCATAACAGGAGTATTGTTAAACAAATTCTACTAAATAAATCACCATTTGATTGTATGTCAGTAGTATATCATTATCATTCAGCTCTCGAATGCTGAACTATGTTTAGAATTGAGAGAGTTAATATCTGTAGTTTATCAATACCTTGAATTTCAGAAATTCTCCATCCTGCACTATTTGTTCCCAAAACCCTCTATTTTCTTATAAATTTAATTATGTTTTAGTTTACACTAATTTATGAAAGAAAATAATGAGAAGAAAACATTTTTGGCTTAAGCTCAGTAAAATAATGAGACCTTACCTTATACGGAGTCTCCAAAATAATTCTACCATCCTTGGAAACACACGGGATGGTCCCTTGCTGGAAAAAGGTAACCTATATAACAAAGAGGTGAGCCGAAAGTCAGCAAACCATTGTAAAATAAGTACTACTAACACAAGAAAAATAATAACAGACATATTACTTGTTCTGCTTCAAGACCAAAAAATTTATGACTTTCAAAGAATTTTCGCGTTGCCTCATCAGTGAATGGACTAGTCATTATGTACCAGTGTATTTGCACCGAAGAAGCAGAACCTGCAATAGACAAACAGATGAGGATGATACAGAGATTAATGCATGAACAAACCGAACCAAGATAAATGAGACTTACTCTCATTTGTAGCTTGAGCAGCTAACCTTTGTACACACAAAATCTTCTCGGCTTGAAGTTGAAAAAGTGATTTTCCAGATGGAAGTCCAATATCTAAAATAAAATATGAAAACATATATTTAAAAGATATGTTTCATGATTTACTCTCAGAACACCTTATAATTATAGAAATATCACATGTAGATATGACTTCAGAAAAAGGAAGACTTATGTCAAAGGAATGTATACTATTTAGAATTTAGAAGAAACTTCGGCAAGACAAAAGGTAAGGAAAATTTAAGCAGATTAGAGAAAACTCATCTAGTACTCATTTAGAATCAGAAAAAATGTCGATAAACCTAGGATCAGAAATATTCAAATGCCTTCTATCTATACATGCAAATATTGACTTGCTTGTAACCAGGGGGGGACCCATAATGAAATGGTAGGAGGGGCCATGAACAAAAATAAATGTGTCTCATCCTATGTAAACTCTTTTCCAGTTAAGAAAAACTCTTATGAATGAGAAAGTCAATTTAATAGGTGAATACACACTATATAAAAAATAAAGTCATTTAAATATGATTAGTGAAGTTGATGGAAAAAAATACTATAGTCATTAGAACTAAACTTATAAAAGCAATCGATAACTATTATTGTAATTGTGCTCTTCATTATACATTTAAAGACTTGTTTTATATTGGATAAGGCGGCCACAGCACAATTTATATCCTTTATGAAATCTATCTATGGATACCTGTAAATTTATGCAGCAAAAAGGAAAAACTGGCAGGGGCCTTTGCCACTGTAGCCATCAATATAGGTCTGCCCCTGCTTGCAACCCATTTATGCCTAAACATTCAACGACTACCTTTATGTTTTACAAATTCTGTTTTCTTTCTACCAAGAAGGATTTAAACTAAAAAATACTTATAGAAATAGAAACTTATTTTGTTTTCATTTCTTTCAAAGTTGTAGTTTTCCCAAATTTGTTTGTTTGGAAGAAGCATCTGCCATAGTTTTCAGTAAGAATGTACCAAGGGGTGAGTACATCAATAGATAGTAAGCTATAAACACCACTAAAACCCATAAAAATGTAAAAAATTAAGAAAATAAGAACAAAACACACTTCACATTTCGTAGAAGTAGAAATCAAATTCATCTAAGGCCCAGAATCATGTATCAGATCTCAAATGATGAATACAATGAGTAGTGAAAAAGCGATAATTTATTGTTCGACGCTTGAAAATTTTGCTTTCGATATCAAGTGTGAATACTCACTGAAACATCCTTTTGGATCTGAACTTCCAAGCCTAGTCCCCTGCATTTATAGTTTTGAGACGTTCTCAAGTCAGCCAAACAGGAAAATAATTGAAACTTAAAAGTTGAGCAGAGACTGAATAGAACATAAAATAGCCCATGTGCATCAAGTCTACTGAAAATGTGGTGCTGCGTTTTGTGTTTTGTATTGACCACTGAACATTATACATGATTTATCAGTATTGGGTCCCAAGTGTTCTGCCTGTATTTTTCATGAGTTTGTATCAAAATCAAACACACTGCAAGAAAAGAAAACAGTTCCATGCAGCTGCTTTTAATCAAAGATTTGTTGTATGCATGTCATGTATAACACGGACATGATACAAGTAAACTGTGCTTTTAATAATTTTTTCCTCAAAATTTATTGTTGGTGCTGGTATCTTTTTCAAAACCAATATAAACTACCAAAAATAATTTGATTTAAATATCAAGAAAATATGTCATTCGAGCAAATCCACAATTTCCAAAGTTTCAAGACTTCATGCAGCAAGAAGAATTTAGATAAAACAAGCAAATCCATAATTTCCGAAATCGAAGATGGACTAAGAAAACAATGACATAAATCTCTTTTTGCCTTGTAGCAAACCCATCCCGCTGCAAAACTAGTCATAGTTTTAATTGCAATGAATTGTGAAATTCATGATATTGCTTTCATGATAATATTACTGTTTTTATAGTTGATGATTTGGTGAAGCAGCCAGGGGACTTATACTTTTAAAGTAAAAGCTAAAAGACGTTGTCTTTTTTCTTTTTGAGAGGCAAAGGGACATTATTAAGGATGGAAATAGCCAAGGTCAATAACAGGGGCCTACGGGTCTAGCCTACAAAGGGTCAGGCAAGACCAAACTTTTTAATAAATAGAAAAGGCCTAGGCTTTTTTATAAGCCTATTTAGTTAAAAAGGCTAGGCCTCAGGCCACGAAAAAAGCCTTTTAAGCCTAACAGACTGGCCTATTTAAATAAATATGAATAATTTTTTAATTATCATTATGTTATGTTTTGTACTTTGAATTAAAATACATAAATAAAAATTGATTATCTTGGAAAACAATGTTGTAAATTATTTTCATAAGTTATCTTAAACAAATAATCTCACAAAACTTATGCTAATAGATAAGTTAAAATAAGTCAACGTAAACAACCTTTTAGTCTCATTAGTTTTTCAGTTTGTTAGTCTATTTAAAATAACAGGCTTTTATGAAGGCTAACCAGACCTTAGAAAAGGCCAGACTCAGGCCTAAAAATAAGCCTATGACAGGCTACAGGCCAGACTAAGGCTTTAGTTTTTTTGGCAGGCCAGGCTTAAGCTTGACAAAGCCTAGCTTGACCTAGCCTATTTCCACCCGTTGACATGTTATAATTGAGATGACTAATATATCTTTTACAAGGTTATTACAATCATTTAAATCTGTATTGGCAACTTGAGGAGGGAGAGTGCATTTGATATTACTAGTTATCGGTGTGGGGTATTTATACAGGGAGGAATGGGGCGGTTTAAGTAGTTGAGTAGTTGTGCACCTTATAACAACAACTACTAGTCAACAACAAAAATTCTTAAAATGTGCTACTACTACTACCACCACCACCACCGTCGCTTCACTGTTATTTATCCAACAATGAAAAGGACTGAGATTTTAAATTTCAAATATCATGCAGGAGCAACCTTGCTTCATGAGTTATTTCAATGTTCTGCTTGCTTTCCATTAATGAGTAGTGGAATTAACTTATTCGCGAGTTTAGTATTTAAAGTGACTTCTAATTTAGTAGCATGTGACTTTCTGATGACTAGTGGGCTGAACTTAGATGAGATATCTACTTTGGTGAAGAAAACAAAAGTAAGATATGCAATGAAAAAAATGTACAAATTATTTGATGCTTATTTTTGTAATCATAAGGAAAAAATTAATATAGTATATTTCTATTCATCAGTATATTAACACTTGTAAGTAAAAACATATTATAAATTAGTATACCCAATCAACTTGGTTTAGGCAGTGCCTCTGTATTGACCCAAAATATGTTATTTGAATGAACACATTCTCAAAGTGATAAGATTCGATTGACCCCAATTCATACTAAGAAAAAGTGATGAGACTCACATTAATTTTACTTAGAAGAAAAGGCAAACCAATTAACATTATACTCTATTTGCTGTTTGGTTAAAATCCATGAAGATAAAAGAGACGAGGGGTAACCCATAACATAAAGCAACTTTATAGACTATATATAATATATCCTACTTAATCATCACAATAAACCAAGGGCCAATTGCTTTATATTATAGTACTAAATTACTAATAGTAGCTTATGATAAGTGATAACATTTGAAAGCAGATTATTACACCTTTTTTATGATTTAAAGAAAAGAAAAAAAGCATTTGCTTTTACACACTCACATCTTTTCAGCCAATGATGTTGCTTTTTAGGGACAATAAAAATTGAAGACTCCCGAATTCTAACTTGTCCCTATAGAGTAAAGACCCAAAAAGTGTAGAATTATAACAAAATAATGCCTATAGAGGAAAAAAAAAAGGGCAATCATGTTGCTTGTTATCTTTATTAAGTATTGTTCCCGGCACATACATAATGCCCCTATTAGTGTACTACTAATAAAGTTTACATAAAAAGATAAATAAACCAAAAAGCACCATTGCATTTGCATGAATAGTTAAAGGCGTCAAAAAAATAATATTATTTAAATAACATATTATTACTAGTATCATATATTTTAAATTTAAATAAAGCATGTTTAGGTGTATGTGTTAATCTCCATCAGAATCCCGTAACCGTTTGAAAGATATACCTGGCCACCGGATAAAAGCAAAACAGCTAACTTGCCGTCTGAAATAGCCTTCAACCCCATTTTCCACCATTTTTCTCGTTGCTCTTGACTTCTCTCCTCCACCTTCGAAACATTGCTCTCCGGCACAGGTTCAATTGCAGCTGCCGGTAGAGCTGGCCAACAAAAAAACAACTATCAATCGCGCAGCACAAAACAAAATCATCAACATGCAACAACTCGACTACAAGAATCACAATCAAAACCTTGAGATCGCAAGGAACACCGAATAATCCGGTCAATTCTCGAAAGATCTAAACTCTGCAAAAACAGAACAAAATTCCAAAATCTCGCACTTCAGAAATCAAAGCATTCCGTAAATTTAAATTTAAAACGAGACGAAATTGAATTTCAAATCTAATAGTTCAAATTGAATTTGTCAGTATGGATCGGGATGAATTTACCTCAATCTCCTTAACGAGAAAATCACGCTCCTCGGGAGAAATCTCATCCCAGAGAGCCAAAACGTCTTCCTGACCGTAGTCTTTGAGTCTCTCGAGAAGTGCTCGAGGCGGCGGCGACGGAGAAGCGACGCTGTTGCTTTCAGTTCCCACCGACGACAATTCCCTCATTTCCGTTTCTCTCTCTAAAATTTCAGATCTCGAAATATTTGAAGTGATTGAGTTTGAGTGTTGTTGGTGCTAAATTGTTAATTGTATTGTTAGTTGGTTACGGTGACAGGGGAACTGTGGCGAAGAAGACAAGAATCGAATCAGTAACCACCCTCCTTCCTTCCTTTCTTCACATCCAATTACCAAAATGCCCCTCCCACTCCTATCTCACTCTTGATAGCAATGCTATATTGCTAACTCGCTGTCATCATAAAAAAAGAGGGAAAAAATTATTCAATACAGTTGTCTAATCTAATCCATTTCAGGATTACTAATACTGTTTACCTCTAATTAATTAGTGGTCAAAAAGTTACTTTAGTTGATTTTTGACTACATGAATTGGATAGCATTAGAGTACATGTTACTGTGAATTTGTGATGTTTTAGATACAGATTTGTTGCAATTTTATTTTTAAAATGATCTGATTCAAGTACCCATCACAAGGGCACATTTTATTTAATTTGTGAATACAAGATTGTTTGTAAAGTATCTAAAGTAGAAATTTGCATCTTCAAGCAAGCTATATATGCTATAATAATTAAGTTTTGACAGTTACCCTAACACACCCAATCGACCCGGGCATATTATTATTGTATTACTTGCAATGTCATGGAGTTAGGCCAGAGCATATTTTAAATACATACATTGGATATGCTCTTGATTTTATCAAATATTTTAACATTTTCTGTTGTGTGATGGCCCACTAACCTAAATTTTCAATTACCAATTTTGTTCTCATTTTCTTCTATCATTCAACATTTTTTATTTGTTTTATATACACGGGAAATAAATAATCTTGCACGGAAATAAACATCACAAGTTACAAATTATTCTTTCGTGCATAAAAGAAAAAGTAGACCATAGAGTTCATACATTTTCATGTATGATGTAAACAATAATTTGTAGTAGATTTATAAACTTTAGATACATGATGTCACAATCAGCCATTTCTTGTTGAGTTGTGTTATTTAAACACAAGATTTCAGATTGCATACATAACATTATATCTTTATATCTATCTCTCGCTTACTCCTTATACATACACAGATTTCTAAAGTATATATAAAATAACAAATTTATAAAAATAGTGACACCGTATTTGGTGTCCATTTTTGATATTGAAACATCATTACTGTTTTTTGTTATCTTAGCATTCACGAAATTTAAGGTTTTAATTGAAATATAGCATAACTGAGGGGAAGATTCGTATAACTGGAGCTGAATACAAAATGAAGAAGCTCAATAGTAGAATCATATGCTTAACAGATATCACAAGGATGATGCTTTCTCGTTGAGGGATTCTTTAACTGCTCTTAAAAGCGAAGGCATCAAGTTCTGGTTTGTAACAATAATACCAGTATCAACATCAAGAAACTTTCCTTTTGAGAAGTCCAAAGGGTTCCCTGCAGCATCTGAGACAATGCCTCCAGCTTCTGCACAAGTTCAATTGTCAAACAATTATGATACAAGATTAGAAGTTGAATTGAAGACACAGTCAAAAGACCTTTTTCCCAGTACTGGAACGAAATACTGCAACATGTCAACCAAAATCACAATTTTCTGCTCCAATTTTCTGTTCGTTTCAAATTTTAGTCTGGCGTTTATTTTCTTGAAAACATTTTATGTTTCCCTTTGAGGTGTTTAAACTTAAGCCATTAACCTTTCGACTCCCTTTGAGGTGTTAAAACTTAAGCCATTAACCTTTCGACTCTAACGTTTCAGCATGAATGGCGTTATGATCATATACAAACAAAATGTTGGCCAAATGGTGTAGTGCAACATTGACTTAGGAATCAAACGGCAGCAGGTAAAGTTGTATGATAGACTTATGGTAGTAAAGTAGCAAAATTGATGGTTAAACAGAGTAGCTTGATTCTGTAAGCAATACTATGATGTTTAAGAGAACAAAAGACAAAGCTCAGATTCTTTGTATGTTCAAAGACTTCTTCAACCTGGCCCCACTCACCAGTGCTTCTCTTACCCTCCATTTTCAGGATGTGTTCTCACTTTCAAAATAAATTCATCAAGCACTTTTTTATGTTCTCTCAGCACTAAAATTGTTTTCAAATTACTTTAACCAAACAGTTTTTTTTTTTTTTTTTGCTTTTAAAAATAAAATTGTTTCTTGGAACAGTTTTTCAAAACAAGAAAGAACACAGTCATAAATCTGGTAAGTTATTGTGGCTTACTTTAAGCAGAACAACCAAGAAAACATTCGCCAATTTCTTGAACATGCTAGCTGAAAGATAGGGACAATAAAGCACAAATATGCTAAAATCTTTGCTGAATCGTACTCAATACGCTGTGATATGTTGTTGATACGTATGAAGGAGTATCCGAATTATTTATTTTATAAAAGCAAAAGAATCCAATATGACGGTGACTCGCCGTTGATAGGGTCTCCAATATGCCACGGATACGGCCAATTTATCTCGATTGTTCATTTTTCCAGTACATGAATCAAACCTTTCCTTCCTTAATTACTCTTCTCACAACTTTAATTACCTATTCTCTCTCCTATGTAATTTGTGATGCACCCTTCTTATATTCCTTTGGGGTTACCATTTTTCAGGATTGCTTTCTTTTTCCCAAAATTCCTTTACCAATTATCAATTGTTGCAAATTCAATTCCATGGGTTAGTGAGTTACTTATTAATATTATCCATTATTCCAATATCTTAGTTTAGATTTCATATTTAGTAATGTGTTAAAAGTTGTGTTTTATGTTTGGCTTTTGTAAGACAATTATTTAACTAATGTCTAAATTTATTTTTTTATACATGTATCTTAATCTCGTTGCATCTTATATTTTTCAATGACTGACGTATCTTATAACCGTATCGTATCTGCGCTTCATTGACTGAAAGGAAAACATTTGTAACCAAAAGACAAAAAGGAATGAAATGCACCTGTCACAACAATACTTCCAGCAGCATGATCCCATATTTTTTCACGGTATCCTTTGTGGGGGAAACGCAAATATATAGCTCCATCTCCTCTAGACAGAGCTCCATATTTTGCTTGGCTATCAATTCTGACTGGCGGTGCTTTGACACCGAGTTTCTGTTCATGAAATCATAATGTTCAATACAAGGAATGTCATCAGATTAAAACTAAAATATGCGAGATAAAAGAAAAAAATAAATAAATAATTATAAAAAAGGAAAACTGGTTAACAATAGAGATAGCATTACTTCTGCAATAGTGCTGGACAAGTCATGTGAGGAGTGCGCTGCTTCATAAGATTCAAAAAATGACGCTTCTTCTGGATTATCAACAGCACTAACATTCACCTGGATGGTGATAACAAGACAGTTGGTCATAACACAGTTGTCATAAGCAAAAGTTTCAAGTAAGACAACATTTTATCAGAACAACCTTAGTCTGTGTAGAGCCATCCAATGCCTGCATATATGTTCCATCACCAACTTTAGCAAAGAAAAGACACCCAACTTCATTTGAAGAAGCATGCTGCTCATTATGGCCAATGGTCGCCAGTGGAAGATTTGGGCAAGCCAAGACACCCAATACAACTTTCCCTTCATCTAGCAAAGCTAATGCTATGGCATATTGGTCTCCTCTTACAAACCTGTAACGCCATCAGACAGGCAAAATCTACTTGGTGACTCAGCACAATGAATTTTAGTCAGCACAATGAATTTTTGTTTTACGGACGAAACATACCCTTTAGTCCCATCTATCGGATCCAAAACCCAGTGGCGACCAACGGAACCACCTTCGGACTTACCACTATCAATGGCCTTAAGCACATCATCCGTTGTTAAAGTAGAAAAGCTATGCGATCCTTCATTAGCGACGGTATCATTGACAAGATCTGTAATGCGCCTCAGTGTATCCTGACCACTTTCCTTACGAAGATCCCCTGAATCCTGATAAGAGTTGGATTTTAAGAAAAAAAGCAGATTCTGCATGTCCAAGAAATCTTCAAGAGTTACCATTTTACCTCCTCTGCTACTAGGGAAAATGGTTCAGAAGGAAGCTCTCTCTCAAGTGTCAAGCTGACCAAGGCCTGTGAACCTGTCAACCAAATGTAAGGAACACGAGTTATACTATGCAAACCTCCGATTCTGACAAACTTCGATGAATGAGATTAGAAGCTCTTCGAAGACAACTATTTAGATTGACTTATTTGAATTCATCTACAAGGATAAGCACTAGTGAAGCCCTTGTTTTGCTTACATCAACATCAACACCATGACTAAAATCCGAAAGACTTGAGCATAATAAACTAGTCACACCAGAAGCAGAAACAAGCTTCCGTGTGAACATTTGAATGAAAAAACAACGGATATGGAAGAGTTTCTAACCATAATCAGCAACAGTGACGGGACTTTTATCTGATTTAGAGTGAACATCAGATTGCAAAAGAGCCTTCTGCACTTTCTGAATCAACAAACCAATCCATACAATACAAGCAAGAAATCAATTGTTGTTGTTTTAGGGTTACAGAATGAAGAGATTGGGGAATGGCGTACCTGACAGAGACGAGCAGCGAGAGTGGCTGCTTTCTTAGCAGCAGCGAGGTCCTTGTCGTAAGACATTGAAGAAACTGTTGTCGTGAATGGAGACCAAGTACAAGAGAGTGAAGAGGATCTTGTCGTTGACGAGGAATAAGAGAGGGTTGTGGTGATGGATTTTTTCTTGATTGTTTTGATGGATTCGCAACGACTCCAATCCTTTATTGCTGCTGCTCTTGTTGTTACCAACCAACGTGTATGTGTCACCATTTTCCGTTCTCTCTTTTTTTTTTACACTCTTAAAAATTGTCACGGCATTTTAGGATATAACACCTTTTTATTAAGAAAAAAATTAAAATATGTTTAAGGATTTACACAATTCAATCATAAAAATATTGAGAGAAAAGTAAAACATAGTATATGTATATGTATGAACTAGTCAAATACATATCTTATTTTGTATAAAACAAATACCTATTGCATGTATCCCGACTAGATTCATATTACATGCTGCAATATCTTATTTGTTAATTTTGAAATTTGTTTTTCGGTTCATAAATTATTTACAAAATTTTAAATATAGATTAATAATATGCATCAACTATTATACATTAAACTAGTGGCGGTTCTTGAGTCCGGTCAGACTGGGCACATGCTCAGGCTGTGGCCCAGATGTATTTTGGGTATGAGGATTAAAAAAAATCAAAAAAGAAAGGAAAATAGATAGGGAAACATAAGAACAGAAAGGGGAAGAAAGGGCACGCCGCCACGCTTGACGCCACCCACCTCTCAGAGTCCTTTCCTCCATTTGTTGCGGTCGTGTCTCCTTTAGTTGCCTCCACCGTCTACCGCGTCGTGCCACCACCTGTTTTTCATTGTATGTTGTATCGTTTTCCCATGTCCGTTGTCGTCTTCGTCTTTCGGCCGTTGAATTGTTGTTGTTTTGTGTGTTCGGATTGGAATTGAAAATATGGAAAACTCTATTGATTTCTTGATTGTATTTGAATCTTGAGAAAATGAGATTAGGGCAAAATTAAGCTTGGAAGTTAGAATCTAATGTTGTTAGGAAAATGAAATTTGGACAAAATTAAGTTTGGAATCTGATGTTGAAAACTCTATTGATTTCTTGACTGGCAGGAAATTATCAAATTTTTTTATGGTAATTTGGTTCTCTTTTTGAACTTGTGGAAATTAAGAAATAGAAGTGTATTTAGAGTGGAAACTTTTGTCATTTTGCCATTGTAGAGTTGACAATTAGTTTGTTATATTACTATTGTTGAATTATACTTACTTAGTTGCGTGTTGAATATATATTATTGTTCTTGCTTAGTTACTTGTTAGTTTGTTAGATTATTTTTGCTTAGTTGCTTGTTGATTATATATTATTGATAACAACTTATGATTTTAGTGTTTAAAAACAGTTTTTATTCACTGCTTCATTTTGAATTTCAGAATGAGAGATTTTTTGTTGAATCAAAATCAGAACTAGAACCACCGCCTAATGTGGTTAATGAATTTAACCCAAATGAGATTGTGTGTGGTTATAGGAAACAAATTAATGAGTATGCTCCAGATATTTAAGACCAAGTGATAAGGGCATATATATTGAAGGGTTCAATGCAACCAGATTTGTCAAGCTTTCCTCGTACTCTATTTGTAAGTGTTAAAAGAGCATTTAGTAAATCATGGTATAAGAATTTACATGGTTAGAATACAGCGAGATCAAGGATGCAGCTTATTGTTTTTATTGCTTTCTCTTTAAGAAACTCGATAGAGCTGAGCACTTTGGTTTTGAAGTCTTCACTAAAAGTAGATATAAAGATTGGAAGCATGCATCTCAAAGCTTAAAAGTCCATGTTGGTAGTCATTATAGTTTGCACGACTCATGTGTCAAGCACTACGATGATTATAATAATCAAAGACAAAATGTGGCACGTAACTTTGTTAAAATAACCAAGGAATCAGAAGAATTGTATAAGATTAGTTTGACTTGTTCTATAGATTATTCAGGATATCTCATTGCACAAGGTCTGGCTTTCCGTGGCCATGATGAATCCTCTATTTCTCTAAATAAAGGCAATTTTAGAAAGATGGTAGATTGGGTAAAAGTTAAGAATGAACAAGTGAGAGATGCTTTTGATCGTGGTGGGGAAAATTGCACAATGACTTCCAGTGACATTCAAAAGGAGCTTGCAATCTGTTCTGCACATGAAATTATCAAGGTGATTATGAAAGAGCTTGGTGATAAACAATTCTCTGTGCTTGCTGATGAGTCACGTGATATATCTGTCAAAGAGCAAATGGCGATGGTGTTGAGGTTAGTAGTTGTATTTTCCAATTTCCAATTTTCATCACCTATTATTCTCTATGCCGCCAAGTAAACGTTTTGAATTTGTTTTAGGTTTGTGAACCAAAAAGGGAATGTTGTGGAACGATTTATTGCTCTACATCATGTCAAAGATACGACATCTGAGTCATTAAAGGATGCGCTTTATAGTATTCTTGATAAGTACATGTTATCTATTTCAAGGATACAAGGGCAAGGATATGATGGAGCTTCAAATATGAGAGGTGAATTTAATGGTTTGCAAAGAAATATTCTAGATGAAAACCCTTATTATTTCTATGTCCATTGTTATGCTCACCATTTACAATTGATTGTTGTGTCTGTTGCTGGTATTTGTTTATCTATTCATGATTTTTTTGAGTACATCTCCTTGATTGTGACCACAACAAGTGTATCTTGTGAGAGGAATGATGCTTTGACGAAGGCACAACACTAAGATATTTTAAATAAACTCGAGAGTGGTGAGATATCTATAGGAAGAGGCTTGCACCAATCATCTAGTCTCACTAGACCCGAGGATACTATATGGGGTTCACATCATACTACATTGCTTCGTTTGGACAAAATGTGGTTCTCTATGTTAAATGTGCTTAGTATGGTTGATAAAGGTGGGCGTGGGCCATCTCAAGCATCGGGTTTGATAGAAAAATGGAGATCTTTAAATTCGCTTTGATTCTCAAGTTAATGTTAAATTTGTTTGGTATCACAAACAAGCTTTCATATGTATTGCAGAGAAAATATCTTAATATTGTGATTGCCATGGAATTAGTTGATGTTGTCAAAGCTCAGTTGGCCACAATGAGAGAGAGTGGTTGGGTTAATTTATTTGTCGATGTACAAGAATTTTGTGTTGCTAAAGGTATTTCGGTGCCAAATATGGATAACGAAATACATGTTCGGGGTTTTTCAAGGGTAAAAGGGAGGACTATCACTAATCTTCATCATCATCGTGCAGAGATTGTTTATGTTGCTTTTGACAAAATATGTGCGGAGATGGATCACCGCTTTAGTGAAGGAAGTAACATTATCCTTGATTGCTTCTCATGTCTTGACCCCAAGTACTCTTTCTCCAAGTTTTATGTTGATAAGCTTGCTCGTCTTACTGATATATATGATGCAAGCTTTTCTGATGATGATCGTGGAACAATAAGCGATCAACTTGACACTTATGCTCTTCAAGTGAAAAGAAATGCTTCATTTTACACTTGTGAAGATGTTCAAAGTTTGGCTATGAAGATGGTTCAAGCTAAGAAATATTTGGTATTTCCATTGGTTTACAAATTTATTGAGTTAGCTTTGATATTTGCGGTTTCGACATCATCCATCAAAAGAGTTTTTTTCAGCAATGAAGATTATCAAGTCTAAATTGAACAATAAGATCAACGATGTGTGGTTGAATGACTTGATAGTATATTACACTGAGTGGGAGATATTAAAGTCATTTGATGATATTGATATTATTATAACGCTCATCACAAACAAGTTTCAGAAGAAAAGATTGCCAGAGTATGAAACTCAAAAGGGCAAAAGGAAAGATTGGTGAATCGCCAAAGTATGAACTTCAAAGGGTGAAGGAAAATGTTTCCAGAGTATGAAACTTCAAAGGGAAAAAGGAAATATTGCCAGAGTATGAGACTCCAAAGGTCAAAAGGAAAGATTTCCAGAGTATGAAACTCCAAAGGGCAGAAGGAATGATTGGTGAATCACCAGAGTATGAACTCCAAATGGCGAAGGAAAAGATTGCCAAAGTATGAAACTCCAAATGGCAAAAGTAAAGATTTCCAGAGTATGAAACTCCAAAAGGAAAAATGGAATTTTACCAATTTATGAGACTCCAAAGGAAAAAAAGGAAAGATTGCCAGGGTATGAAACTCCAAAGGGCAGAAGAAAAGATTGCCCGAGTGTGAAACTCCAAAGAGCAAAAGAAGAGATTGTCAGAGTATGAACTCCAAAGGGCAAAGAAAGAGATTGTCAGAGTATGAAATCCAAAAGGCAAAATAAGATATTTTCAGATTATGAAACTCCAAAGGGAAAAAGAAAAGGTTGATTCAAAGAAGGATACTTGACCATGAGGTGCCTAATCTAAAGGAAAATGAACGCCAAAGAAGTTTGTAGGTCCAAAGGGGATTATGTGTTGATGCATTGAAGAATGAGAGGTTTGAATGTTGCCCTAAGGTGGGAGAATGTATTTGATTGTTTGAGATTATTATGAAATATGTTTGACGAGTTTAATTGTTGGTACTTAGAGAGAGACAAGTATCTTAACCATAAGCTAAGTACGACCTACATTTGGATACTCAGGAGATGAAGGGAAATTGGTATCCCAACCTATTTTTTTTTCCCTAAGAGGACCGGGTTAAACTCGTTTTATTGTTAAGTGTTTTAAGTGGAAGACAAGCATCGGTCCACAAGCCAATCATGGCCAACAACCCAAGTACTTAAGAAATGGTGTGCAAAAGTACGTACACATCATCCCTTTCCTTCCAATTTGTTATGAAAATGGTTTTGAAAATGTATTGGTGTTGGACAAAGTGTTTGAAGCTTGAATTATGATAGGTGTTCATAAGAAAGATGGGTGATTGAATGGAGGATGAGAATGGATTGAGGTTGGTGGCAATGCCTAAGCGATCGACTTACGGGTGTGAGAAGTCATGGAATCCTAGGGTGTGGTAAAATGTGAAGTTCAATTAATTAGTTTGAAAATGGCTTGACGTTGGATCAAGCTTTATTTGTTTTTATTTTTGAAATTGTTTTCTAATCGCCTTTATTTTATTGTTTTACCACACAAACATGCAAGTATAAACAATAAATAATGTAAAATCCTAAGTTATTACATTTTAATAGGAGTGGAGGACATATTACCACGATGGGGGATAATACCTAAACTAATAAAACTTTATAGGGAAGAATAAAGTGACAAGCT